TTCTTAGTGCTCTCGATTCTAACACTGACAAGTGTAACTCATGGCCAACTCAATATTGGGCCTAGAGGGTCACACACATGTGGTGGATGTCCCGACGAGTAGAGGATTAAATATGAGATATCTGATGATCCCTTATTTTATTGGATATCCAATAAGTCTTTATTTTATTGGATCTTTTGGATGAGACCCAATAAGAGAAAATAGTAATTATTGGATAAAGATCCATTAATCCAAGAGGCTTAGGGTGATTGAATAGAGATCGAATACCCATTATGATATGATCCATTATGATTAAGTTGACAATGACCTCTATAATTAGGAGAGAGGCCAAAGGGTCATAGGCTAGACCCCTTTTGGTTGTATCCTCCTATTCTTCTCTCTCCTTCTCCTCAGTCGATAGCCCTTTGGTGATGTGCGAGGATAGCAAAGAAGAGGTCAACCCTTCTTTGTTTATTGTTACAAGGTGGAGCACGAAAGTTACGAGGATTTAGGCTGCAAAGGGAGGTGCATCGTTGCATCATCTGTCGTGTGGATCATCGCTAGAGAGAATGACATCTAACCTCCTTCATCCACATACTTGGATCTACGTTTTGTGGGGATATATGATCTCTCCTAGGTGAGAACATATCACGAATCTTACATGATTTTTGATTTATTGAGTTTTTTGCTACTAATCGTCGAACGATGTTCCTATATCATTCTTTTATGAAATCAAATTTTATTTCTGTTTTTTACTATGCATGTGATGCCTCTCCATATTTCCGACAATAAGAACCTATCATCTCCATACCAAACTATCAATTTAGCTATTAAAGTGGAGCTCAAATTCTTTTGATAGCTACCCGAATGACAAGATGGATGTTGAGGGAGAACGGAGTAGCACTCCCTATCATTTCCCTACAGAGGGGAGGGAATAACTGAAACACAATACATCATAAGTTTCATATAGGGTCACTCAGACTTGAACATGGCCACATGTTTATGGGGTCGGTACTTCTACTGAATGTATCTAAGTTTGACAAATAGAAGCTCGGAGCATGAGTTTTCATCTTGGATTTGTTGAATAAAGAGGGATGCCAAATCAACTTTAGCTAGGTTGGTTTTCTTACTGAGTTAAAATTTATATCTCATATTCTCGAGACATTGGTCTATTTATTGTAACGGAATATACATTATAGGATTTGTCTCGTTGCCAAATGTGCTTTAAGTACATGCGAAGTTGGCAATGACCAACTTGGATTATTATCTTTTGAGCCAATAATTCCAAGGTGACATAAGATCAATAGCACATGAATACTACGTCAATTATTGTTGATCTGTTTATTAAAGTTTTATAATCTAAAATATTTAAATAATATATTTTTAGAATGAAACTTTTGAGTAAGTCATAAAAAAATATGATGATACATATTTATGTGAAAGCTATTATTATATTTTACTTAATTAAAGTTATTTGTTATCACTATTCTATTTATATTTATGTTTATGCATATTATAGTTTAATATAATAATTTGATTATACAAGATAAATTATAGGAGTCATTATGGACTACACTATAAAAGACTAATAGTATTTTGGTATATAGAAGAGAGTATGACATCGATGATATGTAACCGTTATGACTCGCATTAGTAGTTAGATTTAATATAGTATTATTGTACTTATTGAATTTATTAGCTTGTGTTAAGATTCATGGTCATATATAAAATATTTTTAAATTTTTTTTAGAATCTAATTAGATAAAATTATTTTTAAATAAATTTTATTTTATTTATTTTAGTTTTATATTTTTTTATATCTTACCAATTAATGGACCAAATGAAATAATGTTTGATTATATGACCTTATTTAATTAAGTAAAATATATTACAAATATGATTAAATTTTGATAATGGTTATCAGCTAATAAAAATTAATTAATTAAATATGATTCCTTAGAAGATTACATTGATAGAAAAGACTTTCCTAATTATCATTCTAGACCCTTCACTATTGTCTATAAAAAGATAGAAATCCTATGGATAAATAATCGAGATTATAGATATTCACAATAGTTTGATCTTGCCTGATCCACTTTTCTAAATCTTATTGTGTTTGAAATTTGAATCTGCACGAATCCTAAGATAAAATCTCGATTTAGATTCCCGAATTGAAGTCTGAGCAGAAATTCTCGAGAATAGCTTCTGATTGATTTAGAGTGATTCTCCAACTTAGGTGAGTAGTTCGGTTCTTGATCCAATTTTTTATGCCTATTGCGAAACTTATTCGACAAGATCCCAGCGAACGTTCAACTTAAAAGAATACCTCAGATGATATCATAGATAAGACAGATCCAAGTGAGAACTCAAAGAGTCATTCATATAGCTTGATGCCACTCGGAGAATCCTTTATTTATAGTAGTCGTCCTCCTGTCCTCGCTGTCTGTAGTTAGAGGAAATATTTTCTACTGTCATTCACGTTGATGCGGCGAGCTCCGACAGTTCATTTTGGATAACTTGGCTCTGCTTGTTTGAGTCTCCAATTGGCCAATCATATTTGTTTATATCACATAGCCATCTCATTCGTAAGTTTACTAATACTCTCATCGGGTACAATAGATATTGTAAATCCCAACACAAACAGTTGGTGCATTGTTTCAATGGACTCCACCAATCTATCAAACATAGTATATACATATACCTACAGAACATAAAACTTGCCCTGAATTATATTGGTATATATGTGAACACCTATTAGGATACTAAAGGCATTAAGAGCCATTGTTTTCGAATGTACTAACAAATTTAGAACACTTATTTGTTGAAATATGCTAACAAATTTCATTTTTCAAACCGTGTAGGGATTAAATGAAAAAGAAAAAAACCATCGTGAAATTTGGAGTTAAATTGTGGAACACAAACCACAAGATGTTTTATGATGCGACAAATAGTTTGTTTGGCGTCTTATCAGTCGAAGCCGCCATCCGTGAATGTGAGAGCTTCTATATATATAATCCAACATGGTTGCAGGTAGCTATTAGCTAACGTTCTACATGGTAGTAAAA